TTTCTGCATATCTTTTCTGAATCATAACATTGAGCAAGAGAGGAAGAATTATTTTTAAAACGCAGAATAGATACAGGACGACATAAATCTGGAAGAGATCTTGGCGGTCTGCAACTCCTTTCTAGCCTTCGGAGGATTAAATGTTAGTCAGTCCAGAAAGAAAATTATTTATTCTACCCATTTTATTCCTTCAAACATTTCCAGAAAAGATGACTTCATTTTCTTTGCAACTTGTTACAAAATCTAGAATTTTTTGTGACCTAACTGGGTAGGTATTTTAGGGCTTAATTTCATAGAGTCTATTGTTAATTAATGTACACAAATTACCTCTTATGTCTCTGTCTTGGATAATATGTATTTACTTTTTAAGAAGACTAGAATGAAATGAGTTAATAAAAAATGCAGAAAAAACAAAATTATCTTTAGAACTTATGTCCAAATGTTTATATATCTATTCCATCTATTCCACAAAGGACAATCAAACAACTGATTAGCCTATTTATTGTATTGATGAGACCTGGACTATTAATCAGATTTTGTTAAGGCAAAGCTCAAATAGAGATTTTTTTTTTTTTTTGAGACCCAGGCTGGAGGGCAGTGGCATGATCTCGGCTCATTGCAACCTCCACCTCTGCCCGTTGGTTCAAGCAATTCTCCTGCCTCAGCCTCCCGAGCAGCTGGGACTACAGGCACGCACCATCATGCCTCACTAATTTTTGTATTTTTAATAGATACAGGGCTCATCATAATGGCTAGGCTAGTGTCAAACTCCTGACCTCATGATCCACCCACCTTGGCCTCCCAAAGTGCTGGGATTACTTGCGTAAGCCACCACCCCTGGCCTAGAGATTTACTTATTAAGGGAAAACATAATTCCCCAAATTTAATATTTTCTATCAGTGTATTAAGTACATAACTCTTGACATATGCTTTTGTTCCCATTCCTTCTCAATTTCTCATGATACTTGCCCCTCTAATTTTGTGCCCTAACTCCATAATGATTTTAACATCTTTTTGTATTTATGTTTCTGCCAAAGGAAGTTAACCTTTCTTCTTGGGTGCTTCATATATGCTACCTCTTTAAGACTCATTAACCTTAAATTCTCCATATGGCAAAGCTAAGATTCAAACCCAAATCCCCTTGCCATCACAGAATATTACTTAAACTTTTTTCTTTTAAAAATACCTCTATTTTCTACTGCTGCTTGCTAATTTCCAAAATCCTGGATTTGCCAAGTTTTTCTTTGTATTCCCACATTGTTGATGTTACAGGTAGCAGTGGAGGTAACAGAAAAGGGAAGTCCTGAGTGTTACACTGGCATATGTTTAACATCCAGCCCTGCAAAGGGAAAAACCCTACACTTATAGCTTTTGTTAATTTTCTTAGTGTAAATATTCCAATCGGACATCATTTTAACCTACCATTGTGGTGTCACTGAACTGGAGTTGGGAGGATATCCAGGGAGCTTGTGTGAGCTGGCTCCAGCAAGCCAATGCATGTCCTTTTTCGGATGTTATTATACTTCTTGGCTTTTGCAAGATGAAGCATGTGATTCACTTTCTTTCCCTTTGACTCCAGCTTCTCCCCATCCTTTTATTGCTTCTATTTCTCTCTTGTAGCCACTAATCATTGACTTAGTTGAGAATTAAATTTTGTATCCCTTTATTCTTTTCCTTGGCATTTTCTTCTACTCTCATGTGTTTTTGCCGTCCCTGTAGCACAAGTGGTGCCAAACCCTTGTCTGTCCTCTCAAGGTCATCTCCCCGTTCCAATCATAATTTTTTATCAGATACCCTCCCTTTTGCTTGATGCTCAGTAGGGCTGAAAATAACTCCTTAGCTTGTCCTTACCAAAAAAAAATAAGTAATTTCTTCCCTATCCTATTAAAAAATATAAATGCAAACTATATGCCAGATGCTTGCTGAGGTATTTTGAACACAAAATTTGGGAATGATTATCCATATTTTATAGATTAAAAAAATTCCAACCTGAGATAACTTGATTAGTTTATCAAACTGACCTATCAAATAGGCAATGGAACTCAGATGTAAACACAGGACTCTGACACCCAAACCTATCTTTCTTTCCATTATGGCATCATGCCTCTCAGTGAATGGAACAATCATTTTTTTCTCACACTGATTTAAAATATGCAAGTAATTTTTGAGTCTTTCTGTTATTATCACATCCTATTATATCCATTGTGCCAGTGTTTGCGCAGTATCTATCTCCTTCCTATGCTATAAGCTTCTAAAAGCAAGAGTCATGCAATATTCATCATTTTATTTCTTACTATAACAAAATTTATTGTAGTGGAAGGTACTCAATAAACCTTGATTTAATAAGTGAAATAGTTAATGAACCATGATAATGTTGAAGATTTTCATTGTATTTATGCTATCAAAGCGTTTCCCTATCATCTTTATTGAGAGCTACCAATGATTTTTGTATATAGAAGATGAAATTTTGCACCAAAGGAATATTCAGGTTTAATTTGCTGCAATGAGGAGGAAAACTGGAATGCAGAATATGCTCATATTTTAGTGTAAATCATAAAGTTTATCAACGCCCTGTTGTTTTCAGCCCAATGCTCTTTTACCCATTTCTAGCCAGATTATGGTGTACACTCCAGGGAATCTCAAATTGGTTTAGGGCAATATTCCCCCTTGCATTTCAGACAAATTCAGGGGACTCTTGGGAAGTCCTCGGGCCTGGGACTCAGTAATGTACCCAAATTTCTCTGATTTGCAAAAGCTGTCGACACTACTCTGTTGTTAGGACAAATTGCCAAATGTGAAGACGTTATGTGGTGCTCTGCATAAGTGCATGAGTAGATGTGTCATTGGACCTTTTTGTAGTTTCTATTTTTTGCATCACCTCTGGCATTTCCTGCCCTCAGCAGCACGGAGGAGCTGCTTCTTGATTGAGTGTGCCTAAGGGCTTTTCTATACATAGCAATTCACAGTCCTGCAGCAAGATAGGCCATAGATACAGAGCTTTTCTACTCATGAAAGTAGGTGGGGCCATTTTGGCTGCTTCTGACTATAAAAGTGTTTGAATCTGTAGTGTAGTGGACAACCCAAAATAAAATTACCCGTTTATAATTCTTGAGACTTCTGTTTTCTGCGATGCTTTACGCTAATCTACTATGCCATCTCCTCTTTACAGAAATGTTTTAAGTTGCTGTTTATCATAAAATATCTCCAGATACATCATTTGTCAGACTCAATCACTAACGGACTTAGAACAGTCTTAGAAGCCTTTAGCTATGAACACCATTATTTTAAAAAATACGTAACAATTTGAACCAGTTCGTTGGGCATCAGGGACTTTTAAGTGAATGGAAGGTAGTATCCATGTCTCAGAGATTTTACAGACAGAATATACCCACTACAGAATAATCTATTTGTTTAGTGATTCTTTGCAACTGAGCAGTGACAACCAAGATTGAGTCTGACAAAAAGGTTCCATTATTATGTCTCAACTGATATTTCATTGTTGAGAAACTAGTGGCAATTGTACTTTGAGAAGTTTGGTTTCAATGTACATCTTCAGAAAAGTAGATGAGCAGATACCTCATTCACATTCTATCAGACATAGAAGATAAATTATTAATCTGGTTGGTGAGGGTAAAACTTACATACAAAAATCTGAGGTGATTTTTGTTGCTGCATCATATACCGATATGGTATAACTTCGATAATTGTCTTTTATTCTCTACCTTGCAAAATTAAGCTTTGTCAAGAGAGATGAGGAAATGGGTTGTCATGGCTTCCCAGGAATGTCAATTTGGACAAATAACATCAAATTGTCCTTAGAGCCTTTTATGTGGATTGAATCAAATACATAATGGAACTCTCTATTTAGGTCTTTAATTCTTTTAACTTTAAAATTAGACTGTATGAGGATATTGGAGGATGGTGAAAATTATATGCTAAGGCTTTAGTTCATGTGATATCACTAAACTGTGATAGAAGTTCTACTTTAAAAGGGCAGTTCTGCATAATATTTAGCTCAGAGTCTGTGTTCCTATATTTTGAAAGTGATAGAATCACAACCAAATTAGTTCAGTGAACCCCCCAAAATAAGCAAATAACTAAGCTTATATTTCAAATATTCCAATTATAAGTGTAGGGTTCATTTTGTTGTTTTCCTAGAGAAAATTCATTTTAAGCTGTTGTGTGTGTGATGTGTGTGTGTGTGTGTGTGCGTGTGTGTGTGTGTATTTTACAATTTGTCTTATTTGGTCTGCCTTTGTCTCTATTCTCTCTCTAGCCTGGTTGCCTTGGTTACCATTACATACGTGCTTGTATGTGAAGTTTCTCTTTGACGTACATTTATTTCTATGGAAACAATGACATCATTGGTATGGGTAGGTGCTTAGGAAAAGCAAAAAGAAGCAGCATTGAATATTGGTTTTTCTTTGGATTATAAAACATATCATGAAAGAAATGTTTTAAATTAGAGAACTGTATTTTTGCTTTCATCGTGACTTGATCAAGAAGCTAGATTTTTGCTTGTTTATAGACTTGCTCAAGTAAAATGATTTAAAATGTTAAATATAGTATTTCTCCCTTATATATTATTTGGTGTCATAAAACTCACCACAAGATAGGTATAATAATAATAATAATTAACCTTAAAAGTCTCTCAAATATTAAAAGGCTATCTCAATAACATTTGTTATCATCAAAAAACTGTGCAAGGAATTTTATATTCACATTAAGGCAACAGCAATGTATAGATGATGGATCAATGGAAAAAAGACCCTACTTGTAGTTATTATTTTTTAAATCTCTAGTTTTAAAAATACAAGGATATAGCAGGAAGTTGATAATTATTAAACCATATTTTCTATGACATCAAATAAGTTCATGTATAATTGGCATTCCATTTTCTTTTAAATCTTAAGAGGCTTTTTACATCTTTTTTAAAAAAACTATTTTCCTCTCCTTTCTACTTCTACACTACTCCAATCTATATATTTTTTCCTTTATAGATGATGTGGAAACCTGCCTATGATTTTCTGTATACCTGGAGTGCTCACTATGGAAATAACTACAGAGACGTGTTACAAGACCTTCAATCAGCTTTGGACAGAATGAAAAATCCTGTGACCAAACACTGGAGAGAATTAACTGGAACTTTAGTACTAGTAAATACTTTGGAGATTTTGAGAGTAACTGCATTCTCCACTTCTGAGGACGTATAGAAATAAAGGGTGTGTTTTTGATGGGAGGGAAAATAGTAAGGGGAAAATGAGGTAATGGGGTGTGTGTGTGTGTGTGTCTGTGTGTAAGAAAGAAAGAATCTCAGAAAAGCATTATACTATTTTCCTTCATGTTCAAAACCAATTTTGTTTTCTGATGAAAGCACAGCCTAACTGATAGCCAAGATAGGTTTTATCCTCCAATACGTATTTTTGTGTATGTTTCAAACACAAGTATTAGGCTGCTTTGTTCTTAGAAAGGAAAGAAAAAAGAAAAATATCCTCTCTCTCTTTCAGTGTTATTTTAAATTTACTAAGTTAAAGCTGTTTGAATAATTACATCACACAGATATCTGGGTAAACTAGAGGCTATCAACATGAACAAAGCAGTGTTCCCAGGAGGCAGCTAGAAAGAGGGAAAGCAAGCACACACCCTGTGGCCAGGCACGGCTGCCTGCTTTCCACACCTGACCTCTCCAGTTCATCAGTGGGGTTCGCCAGCATCACCCCCATTTTTCATGTGAAGAAACTAAGGAATGGAGAGAACGTCTGAGGCTACATAGCCAGTACAAAGTAGGTTTTCTGCTTGAAAACCTGTTTCTATTTCTTTTTAAACAATCATACTGCATAACAGAATAGTGAAAACAAAATGCATGTGAAGACTTACCGGGAAACAGACGCCGTTTCATTTTAAGTGAGACTTGCTACTTTTTTTCATCATCTCTTGAAAGACTGCCAGAAGGAAAATACGACTTATCAGAAATCTGTTGTCTGCATGCATGGACCTAGTGTTTTCACCAGCTTCCTTCAGCATCTTGGGACCTCTCTAAATCCTACCTAACTTGGGACTTTTTCTGCAGGATTATAATGTAAAATAGTTCTTTAGCTCTTGGGGATTTTTAATAATATGAGTTATTAAAAACAACCACCACCAGAAACTTGATTATACTGTTGAGTAGAGAGGTCTTAACCACCAAAAATACTGATATCTTTATGTTGGCATGCTCATGCAAACAAGTGTGTGTGTGTGTGTGTGTGTGTGTGTGTGTGTACCACAGTGTTTTATAAAGCACAGCCTAACTGATTATATAGGACAAAAATTATTTAGGGCCCTAGGTCAGTATAAATGCTAATGGCTGGCAAAGTTCACAAAGAGATGTTCTGTGCTTACTCATCTGTTCAATCTCTGGTTGCCTGCCAGTGTTTATGTGTGTATTTGGGCAGTCATTCATTTACTGTCATTCAGTCAATAGGCAGAGTATATGTGTCTATTTTTTGGCAGGCATATAGATGCTTAAGGCTAATAATGGGGAGAAAACCGGCATGAACTCTGACTTTAGTAGTGCTAAGTGATAGATAATTTGAAAAAATGACACCGTTAAATATAAAATGGCATGCATAATAACAGTTGCAATGGGGAGAGGCTGTGATGCTACGACATATAAACAGAGATATGCCATCATATGAAACTGGAAGTGGGGGTGGGTCAGGGAATTTCCTCTTGGAAAGAAATAATGAACCTGAAGGAAGAGTGAGCATTGTCCTGGTGTGGTGGGGTGTAAGCGGTGATCCCACAAAGCACTGAAGCTCTTAGATAGGTGGCAGCTGAATAGGTGCAGGAAGCAGGGGTGAAGAAGTGAAAGTATAAAAGATTCAAGGATGAGATGAGGATGGAGCAAGAAGAGGCCACATTAGGGCCATTAAAGCTGCTAGAATTTAGAAAGAAAACACACAGCCTCAAAGAAATGTGGGTAAGCCAAATAAGGATTTTGTTTTGGGAACCTGAATAAAAGCTGTCCATTTGACTAAAAAATAAAAACAGAATCTTTTTAGAGCTTTTAATATACCCACCCCGGGATATTTGGTATGCCGGCAATGGTAATTCAAATTGGGATTTAAGAATAATCTTGGTCGGGCACGGTGGCTCACGCCTGTAATCCCAGCATTTTGGGAGGCCAAGGCGGGCAGATCGAGTTAGGAGATCGAGACCATCCTAGCTAACACGGTGAAACACAGTCTCTACTAAAAACACAAAAAAATTAGCCAGGCATGGTGGTGGGCGCCTGTAGTCCCAGCTACTCGGGAGGCTGAGGCAGGAGAATGGCGTAAACCTGGGAGGCGGAGCTTGCAGTGAGCCGAGATCGCGCCACTGCACTCCAGCCTGGGCAACAGAGTGAGACTCCGTCTCAAAAAAAAAAAAAAAAAAAAAAAGAACAAAACAAAACAAAAAACAAACAAAGGAATAATCTTTAGGGCTTTCAATATTTATATTTGATGATAAGGTAACACAACCTGACCAAAGAATTATGTACACACATTCAAGGACAGAATTTATTTTAATTAAAAATAAATTATGAGAGAAGGAAAAAGAAAACATGATTTTTACTTTCAGAACACAATCATTTTTAGTGGCGATTTTGCTTTATTTAGAACATTCTTGGAATCTTATTAACATGTCAGCTAACCAGAGAATTTTGGGAAGGGATAGTGGGGATTAATAACTGGGTTTTTCCAGGCTCCAGGATCTGAGAAAACAGAGATCTTGTTAGCTGATTAGTGTAGTAAGATTAAATAAATAATTTCAGGTTTACATTGTATCATGTATTATGATTGTGATTGAGAATAATAAGAGTTTAAAAAAATGAAAAACAAGATTTCTGTAATTTAAGGATGAAACAATGGTTTAAATATTAATACACACAAATATATTTCATAATCTTGTAACAAATCCTTCCAGGGGAAATTTTTTTTTTTTTTTTTTGAGCCAGAGTCTGGCTCTGTTGCCCAGGCTGGAGTGCAGTGTTTCAATCTTGACTCACTGCAACCTCCACCTCCTGGGTTCAAACAATCCTCCTGCCTCAGCCTCCCAAGTAGCTGGGATTGCAGGCATGCACCACCATGTCTGGGTAATTTTTGTATTTTTAGTGGAGACAGGGTTTCACCATTTTGGCCAACTGGTCTGGAACTCTTGACCTCGGGTCATCCACTAGCCTCGGCCTCCTGGAGTGCTAGGATTATAGGCATGAGCCACCGCTCCTAGCCTTCCAGAGGAATTTTAAGCCCATGTCCACATATTCTATTTGTATAAATATATTCTAATTTTTAAATAGTTTCTACTTTTCTGAACTTTATATTTTTTCTTGCTATAATGGATTTTCTTAATCGGAAAAGATTAAATGAGTAATCATGAATTGCCTTTAATATTTGGCAGTAAGTCAATGAAATAATACGGCACTTATATCCAATCTTTGACATCATTAAAAGCATCAAATTCCATTAGTCTAAAACTTCTTTAAGCATTTTGAAGGTAGAAAATGCTTACATGGTTCTTTCAGTTCCTCAGGCTTTTTGTCTAATGATGCATGACTTAGGATAAGATTTTAATTCAGTGCCCAGCTTGAAACATAATAATTTTTCTGTGTAAGCCACAGATCCTCTACCTCCTTTGTGTTAAAGCCTTTATATGAAACCATTAAGGAGGAGCATTCAATAGTGTATCATTAACTGTTCATACTAATAAATGGATACAGCACATTTTCATGGCCCGTAATGTACAACATACTATATAAAGTTTTCAGTGTGGGGATGACTAGGTTTCTGGAAGGAATAAAATGCTGAATCAATGGATGGCACTGGGCTGAGAAACATTGCTGCTACTAATCAGCCTTGAATGTGTGACGTGAACATACAATAGAGAAAATTCAGACATTCAAATTTGTATAACGCTGTAACTGGAAGTTAGAGGACTTGAATTTTTATATTGTGCTACTGCAAATTATGTTTTCTGTAATCGTTTATATCTAAGGAATATTTGAGATAATATAAAAGAAAAAGAGAATAACGAACAATGATGTCCCTGGAGGCTTTTTACATTAAAATAGATCATTTTTCTTCTTATACATAGGTAAATCCCTCCTCCTCCTTCTGTATGAACTTTTCTCCCACATGTTGCTGTATGGTTTAGTGAGAGTGAAGTTCTAAAGAACATCAATACGATTGGTGGGATAATCCAAAGATTTTTTTTTTTTTTTTTCAGAATAAAATGGCATGTCGAAGGTTCATTTCCTGCATATATATTTACTGGTCCGCAACACAAAATAAAGTGACCGCATATACAAGGAAACTTGAATTTGTACACATGTAGCATCTGATATGTATCTGATGTTCAGCATCAAGATTTCACTGAACGTTGTAGAAATGTGTATCTTTTGCATGTATATTTTACATTGATTTTCTATTTATGTACATCTAGAAAGTTTCAAGCCCAATAAATAGTTTTGTAATTTTTAGTAGTAGCGTCAGTTTATGTGAGAGGAAGTAGAGATGGAGAGGTTGGCACTGGGTAATAATTAGTAAGGCCAAGGGAGAAAATCTCATAGTAAATATGATTGTTGTTATAATGAGTACAGCATGAAAGGCTTCCTCTACAAGACACTAGTCCAGGAGTTGAGAGCTGTGGTTTCTAATCTTTGTCCATTATTCCCTATGAGACTGTGGACCTGTGACGTGGCCTCTCTGGTCTTCAGTTTTCTCACCAGTAAAACAAGGAGCTTGAACCAAATGATCTCCAGTGTTCCCCTTGGATTTAAATGTCTATAAATATTCAATGAGTAGAATGTATTGTGTTTTGCTTTGAGAAAAGAGAACGTGAATTAAGAGTAATAATTTGAATACCTATTATCCACATTAAAATAATGTCCTCTATGTGTGAGGCATAGCACATTTAGCACACATACATATAAGCACACTAAGCACTTTACAAATATCCTCATTTATTCTTTACATAATCTTTTTGAAATCGATTATGTAATATGCACTGTTTTTGAATAATAGGTGACTTCCAGCTATTGAAAACAAGCTAGAGTATGGTGCTTGAGTACTGAGTTAGGAGGTCAGCATTAGTTTCACCAAGAACTTCTCAAAGCACACTGCCAAACATGCTCCAGTCTCATTTTCAAGGCCTTACACAAGGCAATCATTATGGCAGTGGTTCTTCAACTGCAGCAGCAGCAAAATGATCTGGGGGGCTTGGTGAAACAGACTGCTGGGCTCGACCACCAGAATTTCTCACTCAGAGGGTCTGGCCTGATCACTTGCATTTCTAATCAGTTCCCAGGTGATGCAGATGTTTCTGGTCCAGGCACCCCAGTTTGAGAACCACTGTATTAAAATTTCCTTCATCTCTATAGAAACGGAAAGAGTTTTGATAAGTCCTCTAATTTGCTTTAAGATAAATGAGATTTCACCTAATTCTTTTTTTTTTTTGGGCAGAATGAGTTTATTTCTCCAGTTTAGCCTGTTTCAACTCCTACATACATGAACAGTCAATACAATACAAATGAAGTAGAAACACAATATTTGGTATTCCTTATCATAGCCATTTGAAGCACCTTTCTGCCTAAAAGGCTCAAGACTGTCAGGAGAGGCCCTGAGACAAAGGCACTGCTATAAGATACGGGCTGTATCATAGCACAGTGGCAAGGTCACCACGTGCAAAATCTGTGGCTTGCCTGCCTCTGTGCCTCAGACGGAACTAATGCACGGGATGGATCTGGGATCTGTACAACAGCTCCACGAGGCACGACAATAATATGAGGTTTTATGCTGAATTGCACCCATTTTCCCAATGAGGACACATAAAACCTTCCAAACATGTGAGAAGTTTCAGACCCAAATATAATAAATGATGTACAGGCATGTGACCTGTGAAGTGAATTTGTCAACCTTGTTTCATTTGAGTGTGAAAAATGCTTTATGGTTTTTATAATCTTATCTTCAGCAGCTTTGTAAGAAATAACTTGCCGGGCATGGTGGCACACGAGGTCAGGAGATCGAGACCATCCTGGCTAACATGGTGAAACCCCGTCTCTACTAAAAATACAAAAAAATGAGCCGGGTGTGGTGGCAGGGTCCTGTAGTCCCAGCTACTCAGGAGGCTGAGGCAGGAGAATGGTGTGAACCTAGGAAGCGGAGCTGCCAGTGAGCCGAGATTGTGCCACTGCACTCCAGCCTGGGTGACAGAGCGAGACTCCATCTCAAAAAAAAAAAAAAAAGAAAAAAAAGAAAAGAAAAAAGAAATAACTTGCTCCATTAAGGCCATTTCAGTTTCCTCATTCATAAAGTGAAAATACAAACTAAGGCACACAGGTTTTCTGATCCTGCCACTTAGAGAAAAAAAGCAGGACTAGGACACTGGTCTCCTGGGAGTCCAAGGGACAGTGATTTGCCCAGGTTGTGCTCAGAGAGGGATGGGTAGTGGGGTGACTTGGGCAGGTCGGTGTCCCCCTGCTGCACTGAATTTCTCTTGCCAGGTGGTCAGAGAGTGAGGGTCACATAAAGGTTGCTTAGTTGTAGCAAACCTCAGGGGAAGCATCCTCTGACTGGCCTCAGCACAACAACCAGCTCTGGGTATGGGCAGCATTTTTTTTTTGCCTATTGGGAAAGTCTGTCTAATGGTGTCCTGAAGATTGTGTCTACTTCATCATCCTCACTGACTTAACTGTGACACTGGACAGGAATTAGGGAAGAGGGGGGTTGGCTACTCCACAGACAAAGTCCTGATCCTTACCCCAACAAGTCACCTTAGAACTGCTCTGATCCTCACCATCAGCCCTGTCACGCTTCCCTCATGGGGTGCAGTGCTCATTTGACTGGGCCTCTGCTTTTTAAAATAAGTGGTTTCATGACAGACTTCAGCCTGGTAGCAATGACCAAAGGATCAGACAGAGGAATCCTTGCATTCTGAGCTCAGGTCAGTTTCAGGGGATACCTGTCAGTGGCTGGGTCCTCCAAGCCCCATGGGGGCCAGGCCCAATTCCA